TGTCTTGGTCTCCCCATATCTGTTACCTCCGTGTTGAGTGCTCTAAGGCCCTTACCCTCCTTCGGGTCTTGTCCCATACTTCTTGGGGGGCAGATAGGCGCACTCTCCTTGCTTTACATTCCTCTCTCGTCCTGTCTAAGCTCGATTATGGTTGCCCTGCTTACTCGTCTGCTTCTCCTTCTACTCTTCGCCGTCTTGATGCTTTGCACCATACTGGGTTGCGCCTCAGTTCTGGTGCCTTTTGTTCGACTCCCGTCCTTAGCTTGTATGTTGACACTGGCTTCCTGTCTCTCCAGGACCGCCGTGATCGCTACTGTCTTTGCTATCTTGCGCGGTCCTTACAACATCCTTCCTCTCGCCTCTGTCGTGCTTTAACTTTTACCCCTCCTGCGGTTCCTGTTCCTCTTCACCACCTCCCTCTTTCTGTCCGGTTATCTCGCCTACAGGACTCTCTTTCCGTTCGTATTTTTAATGTTTCTCCTCGTGTTGTTCCTTCTTTGCCCCCGTGGAGAGTCCCTCTTCCGCGGTTTTGTACACCCTTGACCCGTATCATTAAAGCTTTTACCCCTCCTTCGGTTCTAAAACGCCTTTTCCTTGAGCACTTTTCTTCTCACTCCCGCTCCGTTTGTGTCTTCACCGATGGGTCTAAGTCGGCGGACGGTGTTGGTTACTCTGTTGTTTTTCCTGATCGCACTTATATGTGTCGCTTACCTCCGGAGACTAGCATCTTTACAGCGGAGCTTTATGCTATTCTCTATGTTCTTCGTCTCCTGCTTTCTCGTTGTCAGTCTTCCTTTGTAGTTGTTGTTGACTCTCGTAGTGCCCGCATGGCTCTCGGGTCCTTTAATCCGGTTCATCCAGTAGTTGTCGAGATCCAACATTGGCTGTTTCTTGTCCACAGTAAATTTAAGTCGGTTGAGTTTTGTTGGGTTCCCAGCCATATTGGTGTGTCTTTAAATGAGCGTGCGGATGCTGCCGCCAAGGAAGCTGTCCACTCTTGTCCCATCTCTCGTAAAGGTATTCCATATTCCGACTTTTACCCGGTTATCCATTCCTCCGTCCTTACCCGTTGGCAGGCTTCTTGGTCGTCTGTTACTGGTAACAAACTTCGTACTCTTAAATGTTGTGTTTTCTCGTGGCCGTCCTCCTGCCACCGTAACCGGCAATGGGAAACGGCTCTGGCGAGGTTGCGTATTGGCCATACTCGTTTAACTCATAGTCACTTGATGGAGCGCCGCCCTGCTCCTTATTGTCCTAATTGCATTGTCCCTCTTACGGTCGTGCATGTCCTTCTTGAATGTCCTGACTTCCAGGACGTGCGTGTGTCTTGCTTTCCGACTGTCCCTCGCGGTCGCCTGTCCCTCAATAGAATTCTTGGTGACTCAGATACTTTTGATATCGTTCGCCTTATGCGTTTTTGTTCCCGTATTGGCATCCTTGGTAATATTTAGCGCCCTCTGATTATTCCGCACATTTGATGGTGCTACACAGCCTTCCCGGTTTGGTGCCTTCTTTTGATAATTACTTACTCAAATCTCCTAATATGTTAGATATTAAGTCACTGCACATTCTCTCATGTGTATTATACATATATCTACTCAAATCTCTTAATATGTTAGATATTAAGTCACTGCACATTCTCTCATGTGTATTATACATATATAAAACGCTAAACTATAATGCCAATCCTGATCTTAAAAGCTTCATAGAAGGTTGTAACAGAACCCATGAGCACCACACCAGAAATAAATACAGTTTTGATATTCCTAGAGTACGTCTTAATCAAACTAGAAATGCTCTGCAAATCAAGGGGCCCAGAATGTGGAATGACCTTCCCAACCATGTTAAAGACTGTACCTCTCTCAACCAGTTTAAGATAAAAACTAAACACTACCTAATAAATTCCCTGTAATCTACCTCACTCCTCTATTGTCAATCCATGTCTGTTATTTTCTTTTTTTTTTTCTTTTTTTTAATCAACACTGTTTGTCAACCTATTGTATTTGTGCTGCTTTTTCAGTCATGTTCCCCCTTTTTTTTTATCTTTATTTGTATTTGTTCTCAACATCTTTTATTCTTTATGCTCAATTAGTATTAAGTTCTAGATATTAATGTTTTTTCTTGCCCGAAACGCATTGCGTAATAGTGGCTTTAGGCATTGTATGTACTAGCTCTATCTATATATCAATCCATTAATGTAACATCACTTGTATGTATATACCTTACCTGAATAAACATCTGAATCTGAATCTGAATCTGAATCTGACTTACTTGAGTTGTAGAGCATTTCTAGTTTGGTTAAGTCGCACTCTTGGAATATCAAATAGGTATTTGTTTCTGGTGTGGTGCCCATGGGTTCTGTTACAACCTTCTAGGAAACTTTTAAGGTCAGGATTGACATTGAAGTTCAGAGTTTTAAATATATAGAGTACACATGAGGGGATGAGCAGTGATTAATATCTAACATATTCAAAGATTTGAGTAAGGGTACCGAGTGATGTCTGGGGCCAAAGTTAGATATTGTTCTAATAGCAGCTTTGTGTTGAGTAATTAGAGGACGTAAATGATTTTGTGTAGTAGATGGTACTGTAGTAGATGGTACTGTAGTAGATGGTGGTGGTACTGCTCTTTACTACCACAAGGAACTAACATGCTTAAAAGTAATTAGAACTTGAGACTACTGTGGGGAGTATATCTTCGCCAGTTCCAGAGTCAAGGGTGCTGAGTCTGTCCTGACTGTGGGAGCAGTTTATAGAATTCCTAACAGTGATGTGTCCGAATTCAACTCTAACCTTAGAAATCTGTAACGTACGTTTATGTTACGTTGTTGGGTAGATTAGATACACAGTGTTTAGTGAGTTTCATATTTATTTAGTAGTCCTGGATACAGCAGTGTCGTAGACGTTGAGACGGAGCTTGGAGCAGAGCAGGGAGCTGAGTGAGGCCGGTGTCACAGAGCTCTGTGTGGGAGAGCGTTGTAGCTCGATGCGGTCTTAGTCTGCTGCCTGTTCTGTGTCGAAGCTGTAGCGTCTTGGAGACGATTAGAACTGCCTACGCCGAGTGCTACATTCTTGACTGTGGAAATTGTACTGTCCGCTATTGATTGATTGATTGATGAAGATTAAGCCACCCAAGAGGTGGCACGGGCATGAATAGACCGTAAGTGGTGGCCCTTTTGAGCCATTTCCAGTATCAAAAGATGATACTGGAGATCTGCGGAGGCGCAACTGCACCCTGCGTGACTGTCCGCTATTCCTTATATTGCTTGCTTATAAAAAATAAAATAAAAATAAAATGTTTATTCAGGTAAGGTACATACATACAAGAGATTTTACATAATTTGATCGATATATAGATGGAGCTAGTACATACAATGCCTAAAGCCACTATTACGCAAAGCGTTTCGGGCAGGAAAAACATTAATGACTAAAACTTAATACTAATTGAGTATAAAGAATAAAATGTGTTGAGAACAAATAAAAATAAAGATAAAAAAGGGGGAAACATGACTGAAAACGCAGCACAAATACAATTAGGTCGACAAACAGCGTTGTTTAAGAAAACAGACATGGGTTGACAATAGAGGGGTAAGGTAGGTTACAGGGAATTTATTAGGTATAGCTTCGTTTTTATCTTAAACTGGTTGAGAGAGGTACAGTCTTTAACATGGTTGGGAAGGTCATTCCACATTCTGGGTCCCTTGATTTGTAGAGCATTTCTAGTTTGATTAAGTCATACTCTTGGAATATCAAAACGGTATTTATTTCTGGTGTGGTGCTCATGGGATCTGTTACAACCTTCAATGAAGCTTTTGAGGTCAGGATTGGCATTACAGTTCAGCGTTTTATATATGTATAATACACATGAGAGAATGTGCAGTGACTTAATATCTAACATATTCAGAGATTTGAGTAGGGGTACCGAGTGATGTCTGGGGCCAGAGTTGGATATTGTCCTAATAGCAGCTTTGTGTTGAGTAATTAGAGGACGTAAATGATTTTGGGTAGTAGGACCCCAAGCACAAATACCATAGTTGAGATATGGATAGATGAGGGAGTAATAGAGCATCACCAGGGCATGGCGGGGTACATAATATCTGATCTTAGAAAGAATGCCAACAGTTTTTGAAACTTTTTTTTATATATTTAGAATGTGTCCCTGGAAATTCAGCTTGTGGTCAATGAGAACGCCAAGGAATTTGCCATCTAATTTGTTACAAATTTGGGTATTGTTTATTCTGAGATTTATTTGATAAGAGGATTTATTGCCAAACAGCATATAGAAAGTTTTGTCAATATTAAGGGTGAGTTTGTTGGCCGTTAGCCAAAGATGGACTTTATTTAGCTCAGTATTTACTGTGGCATTTAGAGCAAGGGGGCCAGGACTGGAGTAAATGAAGGTTGTGTCGTCAGCAAAAAGAATTGGTTTGAGGTTGTGAGAGGCATGTGGAAGGTCACCAATTTATATGAGAAAGCTATATATAGAGTATACGAACGTTATAATCTTCACCCACGTACTACAAATACAAATAATCGCCAACAGAACCTAAACACCTAACTTAACCCAACCAATGCCTAAATATGTACAATGTAAAGTACAGTAAATTTTATTCAGGAAAGTACATATGCCAATAGGGTAATATGAAATAATATTAATTTATATTTGAGAAAATTCCTGGTTTGAATAAATAACATGTCCAAATTTATGAATGCGTCTTTGGGGTCAACCGCTGGATGGAATGGACTTGGTCTGAGGATGGGTTGAAAAATAAATAAAATACATGAATAAATAAAAGTTTAAGTCCCTCAACTCACAATTGGGCGAGTTCCAACTATAAGAGTAACGACGTAAGCATGTATATGCATATTAGTGACTTATCGAGAATACGTTATGTATACACCAAAAATTGTACACCAAATAATTCAATGGTATTTACAGTAAATTTAATATATATAAAAATAGCACATAAATAGAGATGCAGTAGATGTAAATAGAGCGTAGTGGTAGTGTTGTGGTAGACGCCATTGTTGTCCCACCATGGCGGCGCTGGCTGCTCTAAGAGGGCTCTCTAGGAACTGTAGGTATTCTCCCCCATAACCTGTGTTCCCTCATGCCTTCTTGTCTCACAGTGGTAGTGTAGGTTCACCTGGTGTTTACACTTGTGTTGTGGTAACCTTGCTGGGTGTTGACACTCAGAGGTGAGTTGTTTACACTCCCGGGGACTTCTGGCTGGCTGACCCTGCCTCAGGTGGGGGGGTGCTAGGCTGACCCTGCCTCAGGTGGGGGGCTCCTGGCGGGCTGACCCTGCCTCAGGTGGGGGGGTGCTAGGCTGACCCTGCCTCAGGTGGGGGGGGGGGGGGTGCTAGGCTGACCCTGCCTCAGGTGGGGGGGATGAATGGCTGACCCTGCCTCAGGTGGGGGGGATGACTGGCTGACCCTGCCTCAGGTGGGGGGGATGACTGGCTGACCCTGCCACAGGTGGGGGGGGGGGTGATGGGCTGACCCTGCCTCAGGTGGGGGGGTGACGGGCTGACCCTGCCTCAGGTGGGGGGATGACTGGCTGACCCTGCCTCTGGTGGGAGGGTGGCAGGCTGACCCTGCCTCAGGTGGGAGGGTGGCAGGCTGACCCTGCCTAAGGTGGGAGGGTGGCAGGCTGACCCTGCCTCAGGTGGGGGGGATGACTGGCTGACCCTGCCTCAGGTGGGGGGGATGACTGGCTGACCCTGCCTCAGGTGGGGGGGATGACTGGCTGACCCTGCCTCAGGTGGGGGGGGATGACTGGCTGACCCTGCCTCAGGTGGGGGGGATGACTGGCTGACCCTGCCTCAGGTGGGGGGGATGACTGGCTGACCCTGCCTCAGGTGGGGGGGATGACTGGCTGACCCTGCCTCAGGTGGGGGGGGGGGGGGGGGGTGACGGGCTGACCCTGCCTCAGGTGGGGGGGGGGTGACGGGCTGACCCTGCCTCAGGTGGGAGGGTGGCAGGCTGACCCTGCCTCAGGTGGGAGGGTGACGGGCTGGCCCCTCCCCCTATGCTGGGCAGGAGGGTGAGGGGGCTCGCCCCTCACCCCGAGCCCTGCCATTATAACAAAAATAACGGAAATGCTTAAGCAGACACAACTTTCCCTACAAATAGCCAATGATTTAAAGAGGGAGATTGAAGAAATCGAGAAGAAACTGAAACATTCATATCAGATTGAAGAAAGGCAATTAGAACAGAAAGCAATTCAAGAAATAAAGAAAAACCCAAAATATTTCTTCACATGTGTGAAATCAAAAGCAAAAACCACCACCACCACCAATATTGGACCTATTCGTACGATTGAAGGTTCATACACTGAGGATGACAGAGAAATTAGTGAAATCCTAAAAAAGCAGTATGAGGACATGTTTAGCACAATAAACAGCATGAAAATGGAAGATCCGGACAACTTCCTTATGCATGATATCCAAACCCTTGTATATATAACTGACATCAACATGAGCGTGGCAGATTTTGAATGAGAAATTAAACACATACCCATGCACTCAGCCCCAAGTCCAGATTCATGGAGTTCAATATTTATAGCAAGGTGCCAGTAGCGCAGACAATATAGTGTGGAGAAAACTTGGACACGTGGGGGAGATACCAGATGCTCTTAAAGCAGCGGACATAGCTCCTCTAGACAAGGGAGGAAGTAAAGTATTGGCAAAGACTTATAGACTAGTTGGATTCGGATGGGATGGATTATGAGAACTTTCAAATCCAGGGATCTCATCACAATGGTTGTACTACACAAATTACTTGTACTGTCCTGTCTTGAGTATTGCATAGTCCTCACTTTCCCCTTCAGAGCAGGAGAGATTGGTGAAATAGAGGGAATACAGAGAATATATACAGCATACATAGACGCGATAAAGTACCTAAATTATTGGCTTCGTTTCAAAGCTCTCCAAATATACTCACTAGAAAGGAGACGAGAGAGCTATCAAATGATATAAACGTGGAAAATACTGGAGGGCCAGATTCCAAATCTACACAGTAAAATAACAACATACTGGAGTGAAGAATATGGAAGAAAATGCAAACTAGAACCAGTGAAGAGCAGAGGTGCCATAAGCACAATCAGAGAACACTGTATAAACATCAGTGGCTTACGATTGTTCAACATCCTCCCAGTGAGTATAAGAAATATTGCCAGAATAACTGTGGACATCTTCAAGAAAAACTAGATGGTATTCTCCAATGAGTGCCGGACCAACCGGGCTGTGGTGGATATTTGGACCTGCGAGTCACTGCAAGCAACAGCCTAGTGGACTAAACACACGTCAATCCTGGTCTCGGGCCGGGCTTGGGGACTAGAAGAACTCCCAGAACCCCATCAAGCAAGGTATCAAGCAGGGTGGGAGGGCGCAGAGCTCACGAAAAACTGGAGATTTCAAACTTTATTTTCTTTGTCTCTTTAGGTATTGAAGAATGGGGACTAGATGCGGGCCTTATCACTTATTTAAAGTACAGTATATTTGTTATCCTTATTAACCCATTATCCTTATTCCTATACTGTATTTGGATTTTAAGGGGTTATTTTTTCTTGACTATTTCAACACACACATTGATCTACAACTTTCACATATTTGAGTTCGAATGCCAAGCAATATTTATTAAAAGTTACAAGATATGACAAATTCGAACCAAAGTGGTATCTCCACTTACGAATTTAATCCGTTCCCAGAGATGGGTCGTAACTCGAAACAAATGTTCCCCTAAGAAATAATGTCAATTGAATTAATCCATTCCACACCCCTCAGAAATATTAACTTAAAAATACATTTTATACTGAATACCTCTCTTTTTGTGCTAGCTACAATACAGTATGTATATCTTACCTTTATTGAGGACTTGATGGTATATGGAAGACGGTGAGGAGGGGGATGAGGAGGAGAGGTGTTAGTGTTTGGAAGGGGAGTTGTCCTTCCATTATAACATCAGGCAATGATGACAACTGACCTTCAGAGGTCAGTTGTTCACCATGTGGCATCTCAACAAACCTAAATACAGGCTTTCTGTCCCTTGACAATAAGAATTGTCCCTTTTCCAAACACTTTCCTTGTCTAACTCAAAATAATCATACTAAGTAAACATATCTTTATACTTAGCATAATACAGTACTCCTTTAGATGATATAATAAAGCTGTATTTTAATTATATGCATTTTTCACCATTTCTAATATTTTTAGATATTTTCGGGCCTATTGCAAAAATTACAGTTTGGATATATTGTTACCTTTAATCCAAATAGTGCAGGACCTCTTGTCTATCTAATATACAAAGTGGTACGTTTAGAAATTAGCAATTCCTTGGAATGTTTTCAGGCATCAGTGGAAGCCGCTTTGGTTCACTGCGGTTAAATGGGCTGTACCGCGTTCCTACGCGTATAACTGCACAAGCAACACAAGTGGGCTCGCAAGCCCTTGTTCCATATCAGGTAAGACTGAACTGATATTGATAATGCATGACTAAATCTTTTGCCACATTAGGCTATAGGCAAAAATTGATAATACATGACTAAATATTTTGCCACATTAGGCTATAGGCTCTGCCTCCCCTTTGTGGCTCTGGTAAATCAGATAATTGCACTAAGGATTATGTGAATATAGTTCAAAGTCCTTGTTAATTATTGTGCAGTGCAGTACCTGCACTGCGAACCAGGGTATGAACTACCCTGGAAACACAAACCGAAACTGTCTCTATTTTCCGCTTGTTCAACTTGAAATAAAGTTGTTACATCTTGGCTTAACGTGTTTATGACGTATTGGAACGTTGCTACAACTTGCTATATTGGTTGTTATAACTGGTTAGGTGGTGTTAAAACTTGCTCGAACGTTGTACCAACGTCGTAGTTTCGGTGTGTGTTTGGTGGGTAGTTCCTTTAGCAGCAACTGAAATTTGCTGTGTTTTTGCTTATCTATACCAATTTTTTTTTTATTAATACAAACAAATTTTGCACACTATAAGCAGTATACAGTATTGGTAAATATTTTATTGAATTTCCTTTTAAGATTTTTTATTTGGTTGAGCTGCAAAACTGTAACGTGCTTCGGTAAATAAATTTTGCTGTTTAGTTTCCGAGCCCAATACATGCCTTTGTAACCTTTGCCATCATTACCCACAAAATGGGTATAGTGTGCATAATAAATTAACTAATATTAATCTGATCTCAATAGAAGAACATTAGTTTTCCTTAATATTGTTAAATTTGCACAAAAAAGTATCCTTAACAGACTGCTGCAGTCTGTATTGGAGATAGATAGATATATATATATATATATATATATATATATATATATATATATATATATATATATATATATATATATATTGTGTGTTGTACCTAATAGCCAGAATGCAGTTCTTGGCCTACTATGCAAGGCCCAATTTGCCTAATAAGCCAAGTTTTCCAGAATTTCAATATTTTTCTATTTTTTCTAATGATAAAGCTACTCATTTCATTATGTATGAGCTAATTTTTAAAAAATTTGAGTTAAAAGTAACGTAGATATACTGTACATTCAATGCTGTTTTCTTGTGCATTTTGGAAATGGTGCTGATATCAGTGCCACAATTCTATGCTATTTGGCTAAATAGTCACTTAAAGATTTTCATTACCAATTCCATTTTATCTGTGAAGAACCACTCTGGCTCTCCAGAGAGGTTCTCCGCTAGGTCCCCATGATTGTACACATCGCAGGAGTTCACCTTTAATTGTTCTCTTGTTAGTTTGGGCCAACTGGTTATCAGTACCTTGCCTGGGCTTCCCATAGCAGTCAGCTTAAAGACCCTGGAAACCTCCATTGGTCCAATGGATGCATCTTCTGGGTCCTATCTCACCTTGTATGAGTCTGAAGGTTGCTCTGTCCCCTTGTCTCAGGGTGACATTCACTGGGTTTGGCTTCGTCATGCTGCCTGTTGGACCGATGACACCTTTGATCCAGAGTCCTACGAGTTGTGTTCTTTGCTGGTGATCCAATTCACCCAGTCCACTGATAATGATAATTGGGTGCAGGCGAATTCGGCATTGCATACAATTTTTTGGTTGCTGCAATGCACAAGGTTGGTTGCCTTTCCGGATGCCCCGCAGCTGCCCCACTTTAGTTAAAGGGACCCAGACTTAGGGGCGGTAGTGCTTCCTTGTCTTCCCCTGCTGTTGTTTGTCCTGTTTCCCCCCCCCCCCTCCCTTCCCTGCTGCCTGCAGGGAAATGTCTGAGGGTTTCGGAGTTGGGGCATGGTTCAGATGGTGCAAGACTGGCGGTCTCGCGGGCTGCCACATCCGGTTCGGCGACTGAAGCATTCAAGCCTGCTCCTCTAGCCGGGGCATCTGAGTCTAACCAACGGAACCCTCCCCCCCCACCACCACCACCTTTTCCCAGCTTTTCCAGTGGACTCTGCCTGTTCTTTAGGGGCTGGGGTGCAGTTGACTTTGGGGGGCTTGGGTCCTGTGTGACTCCACTTGGGTGTTGGTACCCTCAACGCAGAGCTGCATGTTGCAGGGGAAGGGGGGTTTTCTTACCCCCCTGTACAAATTTGATAGGGGTTCAGTTCCGGGTTCCCTTGGGTTCTTCGGTCCCTTCCTTCCGGAAGTTTTCGGCTTCCAGCATCCTGCCTAAGGAGGTTCAGGAGGCCCTAGCAGTGTACCTCCTGCGTGACCCGGATTGTTCCTCAATAATGGATCTTTCCTCGTTTGAGTTCGGTCGTACATTTCCTTACAGAGTGTTTTACGAGGTTCCAGAGTCATCCTGGTTAGCAGACTGCCCTTTCTTTTCTTTGGGGACGTGGCATGTGTTCTGGTTAACTTCTACGGTAGATCAGGTTTACCTGGGGGCGAGTTGGAGTATCTCAATGCGTACTTATTCGCCCCCGTTATTCCTAGGGATAATGGCCAGGCACAGCTTCACGTGCAGGTTCCTGTTCTTTCGGTGTCCCTGGTAGCTGAGGATTTGCATGCCAGGGGGACACTTTGCACCGGTTTTACGTTTCTTTTCCCTGCTCGAGCTGTCTATGGAGTAGCTGGAGGAGGATGTGGGGCACTGGTTTCTGGGCCCATGTCTCGTGCATTTGCCTCGGCGGCTCGGATGTTGGCTGCCTTGTTGAAGCTGTTTGCGCAGATTCTGAAGGAGACGGTGTCTCCGTTCTTTGTTTCTCGCCTCGCCTGCTGGCAGGCTGTGCTTGTTAACTCCTTGGGATCCGCTTGGTCCCTGGCTCTTAGGTTTTCGTCACCCTGTTGTCTGTTGCTGATTGCAGATTTTGCTGTTTTGTATTTTCCCCTCCCCCATCCCTACTGGTTCCGCTGTTGCTTCAGGTTCTGGCTCGGTTTGAGACTTGCCAGGGGAGAGTTGCCTTGTTGGCCCCCTTGATAACCAGCCCAGCCTTGGTTTCTGGCGCTGTTTGCTCGGTGTCTGAACCCGGGGACTTTTCTGACTGCACCAGCAGATCAGTCCGGTCCGGTACATGGCTAGTTCGATCTTCTCCGATCTTCACGTCTGATCTTTCTTATGAGGGTTTATCACTACTTGTATGATGATCAGGTGGCTTCGTTGATGGTGTCCCACCTGTGTGTTTCATCTCGGCGGCAGTATTAAGTTTTCTGGTGGTCCTTTTGTCAATTTTTGTCAATTTGTAGATTGTCTTCGGTTTCGGATCGGATAGTTTTGTCCTTTCTCTCCTGGCTGTTTCAGGACTGTCATCTTATGCCACATACTGTTGCCTTGTATCATGCAGCGCTGGCAGAGCCGCTCCTGCTTGTGTTCAGTGTGGATGTTACTTCCGATCCTTTTTGCAAGCCATCTCGTACGTTGTTTCACCTCCGGCCTGCCCATGCACCGCCTGAGATGTCCTGGTCATTGGAACGGGTGCTCTCTTTTCTCTCTCATCCTCAGTTTGTGGTGGCTCCTTCAGTTTTGGATTGTTTTGATAAGGCTCTTTTTCATGTCTGCATTGGCCTCTGGGGGTCAGGTTGTGCTCTCCTCTGACATGGGTTTCTGCTCTTTCAGTCCGGGTGGTAGGTTTGTTCGTTTGCTGCCGTCTCCTTCTTTTCTTGCGAAGAACGAGATAGCAGCTTTCCTGTGGGGTCTTGGGTGATTGATGCTTGGTTGGTTCGGCTGGGGGTAATGACCTAAGTGTAACTACCTAAGTGTAGTTACAGGATGAGAGCTACACTTGTGGTGTCCCATCTTCCCAGCACACTGTCATATAACGCTTTGAAACTACTGACGGTCTTGGCCTCCACCACCACCTCACTTAACTTGTTCCAACCTTCTACCATTCTGTTTGCGAAAGTGAATTTTCTTATAATTCTTCGGCATCTTTGTTAAGTTAGTTTAAATCTATGACCTCTTGTTCTTAAAGTTCCAGGTCTCAGGAAATCTTCCCTATCGATTTTATCAATTCCTGTTGCTATTTTGTACGTAGTGATCATATCGCCTCATTTTCTTCAGTCTTCTAGTTTTGGCATATTTAATGCCTCTAACCTCTCCTTGTAGCCCTTGCCCTTCAGTTCTGGGAGCCACTTAGTAGCTTGTCATTGTACCTTTTCCAGTTTGTTGATGTGCTTCTTAAGATATGGGCACCACACAATCGCTGCATACTCTAGCTTTGGCCTAACAAAAGTCGTGAACAGTTCCTTTAGTATATCGCCATCCATGTATTTAAAAGCAGTTCTGAAGTTAGAAAGTGTGGCATAGGCACCTCGCACAACGTTCTTTATGTGGTCCTCAGGTGGTAGTTTTCTATCCAGAACCACCCCTAGATCTCTTTCTTTATCAGAATTCTTTAAAGATTTATCGCATAATTTATAGGTTGTGTGGGGTCTATGTTCTCCTATTCCACATTCCATAACATGGCATTTATTAATATTAAATTCCATTTGCCAAGTGGTGCTCCATATACTTATTTTGGCATCATCAGCAAACATGTTTATATAATTCTGTATACCAACTGGTAGATCATTTATGTAGACAATGAACATCACCGGTGCAAGACCTGAACCCTGTGGTACTCCACTTGTGACATTTCTCCAGTCCGATTCATTGCCTCTGATTACTGCCCTCATTTTTCTATCAGTCAGAAAACTTTTCATCCATGTTAGAAGCTTACCTGTCACCCCTCCAATATTTTCCAGTTTCCAGAACAACCTCTTATGTGGAACTCTGTCGAAAGCCTTTTCTAGGTCCAGATAGATGCAATCAACCCAACCATCTCTTTCCTGTAAAATCTCTGTGGCTCGATCATAGAAACTGAGTAAATTCGATACACAGGATCTTCTGGATCGAAAACCATACTGTCTGATATGATATCATTTCTCTCCATGTGTTCTACCTATTTAGTTTTTATTATTTTTTCCAATATTTTCACTATTACACTTGTCAATGATACAGGTCTATAATTGAGAGGGTCTTCCCTGCTGCCACTTTTGTAGATTGGAATTATATTAGCCTTTTTCCACACGTCTGCTACGACTCCTGTACACAGGGATGCCTGAAAGATCAGGTGAAGTGGAATGTTGAGCTCGGATGCACATTCTCTCAGAACCCATGGTGAAACGCCATCTGGGCCAACTGCTTTGTTCTTACTTAGCTCCTTTAGCACATTTTCCACTTCATCTCTAGACACCTCTATACGCTCTATGTTGTTCTCTGGAATTCTTATTGTGTCTGGTTCTCTGAAGATTTCATTTTGTACAAACACACTTTGGAACTTTTTGTTTAGTGTTTCACACATTTCCTTTTCAGTTTACTTGAGAAATTTGGGTGCATCATGTGTTGTGTCCGGTTGCGGTTCTTAGGAGCTATTGGCACACCACGGTCTCTGTAGCCAGGGACACGCTTTGGGTTGACCCGGTTTTCCTTCTTCCCTGTTCCAGGGCTTGGGTCTCCCAGGTCGTCTGCAGAGTTATTTGGTCCAGCCAGCCTGTGGTCTATCCTTGTGCCCATTTTTGCTGCTTTAGCTGCCGTTTTTTGTAATATGTCTTGGGCTGACATTCGGGCACAAGGGTTTTGGAGGTTGAACAGGGTCCTGGCCGCCCGTTACCTTGTTAATGTTCCTGGCCCTAGTCGGGCGTGTGTCTCTTTGGGTTGTAGGTTACAGCTAGTTGGTCTCAACTTAGAGTTGAGGTGTGAGTGACGGTCACCAACCAGGTAAGTCTTTCTTTTTGTTTTTCTGTGGTTAGGTAGCTCCAGAGAGCCAAAGGGGCTCTCCATAGAAAACCAGCTTTGAATGAATGAAACGCCATTTTCTGGGTGAGTCCCGGAGGCTCCCTGGCAACCCTCCCAACCCTCCCTCCCGGTCGGTGGTATTTGCATTTTTGATATTCGGCCTCAGAACTGGGGTTGGATGGCTGGCGGGGAGTCTGGGGTTCCTCCTTGCCCCTTCTGAAGAGGAGGGGAGCTACACAAACATCGGTGTGGCGGCAGTTGTGACATCATGCTTGTTTTCGGATTGGGAGTACTGCTTGATAGTTCTGTTTTCGGTAGCAATTTTTAACCAGGTGTTTATTTTGGGAGGCCTCTCTGGGTGCCTAACCCGGTCAATGGTAGACATGGAATGCTTCCAACCACTTGGGGGTTTCTATAGGCCATTGCTCTTCATGCCTCTCTGAGGGGGCCAGGTTTAGGCTCATGGTCCCCAATAGGCATAGAACTCGATCGAATTGATGGATGCCACAGTCTAATGCGTACATTTCAGCCCCATAAACTCTGGGGAGCCTCTGGGAAGTCTCCAGAAAATGGCATTTCATTGCATTCAGCTCTGGTTTTATGAATTCTTATCTATCTTCTCATCTTTAGTTAGACTAAGGCTGTTGCTACACATCTAGGTTAAAAGTTCATTATATATTTATTGCATATATTGCTCTCTATATATATTTTTTTTTAATTGGAAATACTGTGTGTGTTATATTATGGTACGTATATCTTGTTGACAGTTATCTTGACAAGCTCTAATTCATTAAAATGACAGCTAGTTTGGTCAAATATATTTTAAAAAAATGCATGGTGAGAATGAGATAAATGAGTACAGTACTGTACATAATATGCAATGGAATTAAAATATTTTTGGGCAAGCTGCATTCAGCCGGAATGTGTTAATTTGAATGGGAGTGCAGTATACGCACGTGTGTATAATTTATAATATTAACTTCAGTGTTGTAAGTTTTATTAATTTGTTTGTTGATCTAGGCAAAGCCCTTCAGTGTGTCACCTGTTACGAAAGGTCCCCCTGAGATTGAGCAAGCAGGTCATGACCATGTTATGCACTGGACTGCCGAGCGAATCCTTGCAGTGGTGCTCCTGGGAACCATCCCAGCGGCAGTGATCTTCCCAACACCAGCTGTAGAGTACTTTCTTGCTCTTTCATTGACAGTTCATTCATATTGGTAAGTGGGTTATTTTTTGTTTTTAAAATGGTCTGATTGTGTTTAATTTGATTAAATGCTCCCTTAAGATATAAATGCCTAAAATGTTGTTCATAATAGGGGCTTTGCGAGTAATTACATGTATAGTACAGTGGCCCATTGATTCGGGGGAACTGTGGGATCGACCCCAATTCGTGAGAGCAATGTACAGGGTATTCGTCGCAACTAGAGATGCTCTCAGGAGGCATTTACATAATGCATTTTTGTAATAATATAAATCAAGAATAATTCATTGTTATATAAAGTACAGGTACTTCTAAACTGTACAGTAATGAATCATGCTGTATCTTTATACAGGTATAAGTAAAGGCATACTGTATACAGGTATAGGATTTACAGTAGTTTACTTGAATCCTCTTGAGACTATTTGTAATTATAAACACCTTGTGTAATTACCTAAGTGTAGTTAATGGATGAGAGCTACGCTCCTGGTGTCCCGTTTTCCCAGTACACTTTGTCATGTAATGCTTTAAAGCTACAGTACTGATGGTTTTGGCCTCCACCACCTTCTCACTTAGCTTGTTCCAACTGTCTACCACTCTTGTTTTCAAAGGAACACGTTTTCTAATATTTTTCAGCGCCTTTGAATCTGTGCCCTCTTGTTTGTGAAGTTGCTGGTTTCAGGAATGCCTCTTTGTCAATTTGGTCGATTCCTGTTAGTATTTTGTAAGTGTTGATCGTATCTTCTCTCTCTCTTTTATCTTCTAGTTTTGGCACGTTTAACGCCTCTAGTCTCTCCTTGTAACTCTAATTGTTCATTTCCAGAAACCGTTTTGTAGCATGCTGTTGCACCTTTTCCAGTTTATTTATGTGCTTCTTGAGATTTGGCCACCATACAACTGCTTCATATTCCAATTTTAGTCTCATAAAAGTCATGAACAATATCTTTAGTATTTCATCATCCATATAATTAAAAGCAAGCCTGAAGTTGGAAATAGATGCATACACTGCTCTCACAATGTTCTTTGTGTGTTCCTCTGGCAACAGCTTACTATCCAAAACCACCCCCCTAGGTCTTGGTCTTTACTAGAGTTCTGTAATTCCTTTCCACATAATTTGTAAGTTGTGTGTGGTCTATTTTCTCTGATTCCACATTCCATAACATGGCATTTATTCACACTGAAATCAATTTGCCACTTGATGCTCCAAGCACTTGTTTAATCTTTATTACAAACATTCCATTCCATGTTCTAAGTAATAAAAGTCCTACAGAAGGAATAGAAAAACTGACTTCAGAAGCGTATGGAGTCTGTCTGAAACATGTTCCTTTTGAGGAAAGCCAGAAAGAGGTCCAAAGTAGAAAGAGAACGCAGACGACACTATAAAAGAAGGTAAAAAATAACGGAAATGCTTAAGCAGACATGACTTTCCCTACAAAGAGGGAATAATTTAAACAGGGAGATTGAAGAAATCAAGCAGAAATTGAAACACTCATATCAGACTGTAGAAAGGTAGTTAGAACAGAAAGCAATTCAGGAAATAAAGAAAAATCCAAAATATTTCTTCACGTATGCGAAATCAAAAGGAAAAACCACTGCCAGTATTGGACCTATTCATACGAATGAAAGTTCATACATGGAGGATGACAAAGGAAATTAGTGAAATCCTAAAAAAGCAGTATGAGGACATGTTTAGCACTCCAATAAACAACATGAAAGTGGAAGATCCTGAAAACTTCTTTATGCATGATATCTAAACCCCCTGTAAATATAACTGATATCAACACGAGCATAGCAGATTTTGAAAGGGATATTGACAACATTCTCATGCACTCAGACTCGGGTCCAGATTCATGGAATTCAATATTTATAAAAAAAATGCAAGGTGCCAGTAGCACAGGCACTCAGTATAGTGTGGAGGAAGAGCTTGGCATCAGGGTGAAAAACATTTTGCCCATTTGTCTCCGCCTCCACCGGGGATCGAACCCAGAACCTCTGGAATACGAATCTGAAGCGCTGTCAGGTGCCCGTTAGGGAAGCTGTCCGCTCTTGTCCCATCTCGTAAAAGTATTCCTTATTCCGACTTTTGCCCAGTTATTCATTTCTCAATCCTTACCAGTTGGCAGGCTTGTTGGTCTTCGGTTACTGATAAGAAACTGCATACTCTTAAGAGTTGTGTGTCCACGTGGCCAGCTTCCTACCACCATAACCGACAATGAGAAATGGCTCTGGCGAGGTTGCGTATTGGCCATACTCGCTTAACTCATGGTCACTTAATGGAGCGCCGCCCTGCTCCTTATTGTTCAAATTTCATTGTTCCTCTTAATCATGCATATCCTTGTTGAATGTCCTGACTTCCGGGACGAGCGTGTCTTGTTTTCTGACCGTCCCCCGCGGTCGCTTGTCCCTCGATAGAATTCTTGGTGAATCGGATACTTTTGATATCGTTCGCCTTATGCGTTTCTGTTCTCGTATTGGCATCCTCAGTGATATTTAGCGCCCTCTGATTATTCCGCACATTTGATGGTGCTATATAGCCTTCCCGGTTTGGTGCCTTCTTTTGATAATTACTTACTTGTATAGTTGAGCATGGAGACTACAAAACAGGTGTGGTCCAGCCCATTGTGGTTTACATGTGGCTAAAGGACTACATAGTGGTGGTGGTGATTCTTGTGTATACTTATACTTGCAAGGTAATGACATGGTATGAAAATGAAAAATCAAGAGTTAGGGCAGTTAGAAATAGATAATATGAGAAACATGTGTAGTGTTATAGTAAGAAATTTTTAATTAATATCTATATGCTAATAAGATAAATTTTACATTGGTATTGACTGCAACAACTGGCCTATATAATTTGTCTGCAGATATGCCGGCAATGAGCATGTATTTAATACTTGTTGAAATTCTAGCGGGTTTAAATATGTAAGGAGTGAAAAAAAATGGAAGCAGTGATATTTAAATGAATATTTTTGTCACAGACAACTGTAGTACAAAAACCTTCAACACAATGAATGTGAATAATGGAAGTTGTCTTACATGTTTGAGTATTTCTTGTTTTGTTATCCATAGATATTTTGCTCGAGTACTGTAATTCGGCATGGATCTCCAAATTTAAAACTGCAAATTCAGATATGACCTACAACTTCAATATTTTTGTATTTACATAAGGATCCACATAGGAAAAATGAAACAATTTTTGAGTCCTTTTATGTTTCAATACATTTGTCTTTTGTATTAATTGAAAATGTGTCGAAACATGAACGTGCTCGGAATGTGTGTTTTACTGTGTGGATACTTAAGTATAACTGAATGTTGGGGTTTTGTGATTATTCTTGCATTATTTCTATAGATATATACTGTATATATATTTTATTATTATTATTATTATTATTATTATTATTATTATTATTATTATTATTATTAATGCCTTATTTTTTTTTTTTTTACTTTTCAGGGGCATTGAGGCAATTGTTGTAGACTATATTCACCCTAGCAGCTTTGGTAAAATTATTCCCAAACTTGCACTAGGTGCTGTATCTGCTCTGTCTTTCCTTACCCTGGGTGGCCTTTGCTACTTCATTTACACAGATGTAGGCATTATCAATGCTGTTAAGCTGCTTTGGAAATTGTAGGGTTAAAAGACATGTTTATAAATTGATTTTAACTTGTTAATCAAAAGCAGGTACAGTACTATGTATGTGTATATGTATATATATGTGTGTATCAGATAATGCAGTATTTTATATTAAAAAGCTGATCTTTTTTCATTTCCAAGTCACTTTGTGTAGTAATATTCTGCATATCCTGAAACAGAAATCTAATAAATATTACATACAGAGATATACTTTTGGTCATTCACAGCACTTTTAAAGAGATACATTAGCAAGGCTCACATTAGATGTACAAACGTGAGGCTTAATCTATAGTATTAAAGGTGCCACGTGTCATAATGATAGTAGGCATATGAAATACAAAACTAGATTTGCAGCACTGTATGGTTTAAATTTATCTTTACAAAGGGAAAAATGCAACCAGATTGTATTGTTGAAAATTTTTGTATACCTTGACTTGATTTGCACAAGATTCGACATGTGCAAACTTGATTTCAAGGTCAAAGTTCTGAGTGTTCAATGCTGAATTTGGTTGTGTGTGAATTGGGTGGTCATGCAGGAGGGATCGTTCGGCCGTATGCAAGTTATCGCGGGCGCCCGAGCTGTTTTGGTGCGCGATGCTTCTTGCCGCTCTCGTTTTTCCCCTTGCATTTTCCCCTCACTTCTCGGTTATATTCTGCATTCGAGCCACTTTTTTTTTTTTTTTTTACTCATCACAAAGGTCAAGTATTTTCACTTTTGGGTTACATTACTGCATGATGGTTCCTCTTAAGCTTCCAGCAGCTGATTTTATGCAAATTTATTAATCATAAATGGGAACAGGAGTATTTTGAGCAGAAAAGTAAGGGAAAAGTGAAATTTTTAAGTGTCTGGAATCCATTCTATTTTTCCAGCATACTGTACTGTAATTACGCTCACCATGTTCAAATTGTCTCTGCGCAAGGATTTCCAGGAACGTAACCCTCGTGCAGATTGAGGGTCGACAGTATTATCATCATCATATGGAGCAGATTAGCAGTCTAGTAGTAATATACGGTACTGTCATTAATTATATTTTTGTGATATTCCTTAATTCAGTGTGTGAAATTTATTTATAGATTGTTCTGGAGGTAGCCTTTAGAGGGATAATAAAATGTACCGGTTTAATGTGTACATTTTATAAATCATTAAGCGAGTTTGTGTATAATAAAGTATAAACTTTATTTTTCCTGTTTATTATTCTCCAATCTACTAGCAATGCTTGCTTGCTCAATGAAACCACAAGAACACGTCTGAATAAATATTAAGGCTGTATGTTTGACGCGATCCTGCATCCCCGATCTCGGAGGACCAAGCACTACGAGCTCACTGTGATGGCTTCAATTCAATCGTATGGCCTCGGCATTTATTCAACTTTTGTTTAAAAAGTTTTATGTACTTAAATGTTTCTAACCAGACTAAGTCAGCATCTAAAGGAAAAGCATATTGGTTCTGTAATTGAATATGTAATTATTTGATTTGCAAATAAATTTTCTGATCTTGACCTTAGTGTAATCCCAGGGCTTGCATTAATCCTTAAACTGCGCAAAACATACATATATGATTGGACATAACCTCGGTTTGTAAAACTTCCACAAACTATATCCAATTTTTTGGGCATAATCAACTCTGCAAATTCTCCAACTTTGTCACCTGATTGATCATCAACATAACTTGATAAACAAGAAAAATCTGAAATAATTTTAAAATTGAATATTGAAAACTTTAGATTTTTCAATCACATTAAAAAATATAAACTTGCCAATTGTTCATTTGGTGTTTTTATCCTCTCAGAATATCAAATTATCTTCATTTTCGTCAAATTAGAATATAGGTTTTCAGCATTACTGTAATAAAAAATTGTGAATATGGCATTTGAAATATGGGGCAAGTTTAGAAAAAAAGAATTTACAACTCCAAAGTTAAGGGTTTATGAAAAAATTATTCTCAAGGGACTATAGAACAGACAGCTGAGCGTACAATGTAAAAATGGTAAGAATCGGTTAGAAACGAATTTTAGAAGCCACTCAAAGTTGAAACTACACACAGAAATCACAATAGCGTGATGCATCAAATGAACAAATCCACAAGGGCCGTGCGAGGATTCGAACCTGCGTCTGGGAGCATCCCAGACGCAGGTTCTGCATCTGCGTTCTGCGTAGAGCTGGAGTAAGGCTGGGGGGGGGGCGGGTAGTGCAGGAGTGAGGCTGGGGGGGGGGTAGAGCTGGAGTGAGGTTGGGGGGGGGTAGTGCAGGAGAGAGGCTGGGGGGGGGGGGTAGTGCAGGAGTGTGGCTGGGAGGGGGGTAGTGCAAGAGAGAGGCTGGGGGGGGGGGGATGTAGTGCAGGAGTGTGGCTGGGGGAGGGGGGTAGAGCTGGAGTGTGGCTGGGGGGGGTAGAGCTGGAGAGAGGCTGGGGGGTAGAGCCGGAGTAAGGCTGGGGGGGTAGAGCTAGTTTAAATCCATTTATTTGATATTCAGCTAATAGTTCTCTATTTTCTACATTCATCCACGTTTCGGTAAGTGCAATAATATCTATTTCTTCTGTACAGATAAGAGCATTTAACTCTTATTTTGTTTCTTAGACTTCTACTGTTAGTGTAATATTCCCTAAGTGAATTGTTATTTTGAGGCCCTTCTCTTTCCCTGATCATTTTGCCAATTTGTTTCTCCAACATACATATATTTTTATTACCTCCTTCCTCCCTATCAATTCCCATACCACTATCTACTAACAGTTTAAACCCAAACAAATGCCTCTAACCACTGGTTCCAACGAGTTCGCAACAGCAACAACCCCAGCCCTCGATAGATGCACCCCATCACGAGCATACATTTCCTTTCTTCCATAGAAGTGTTCCCAGTTGTCTATGAAAGATATTGCAATTGATTTGCAATATCTTTCCAGCCGGCAATTGACATCAAGTGCACTCGACATCCATTCATTTCCCACTCCCTTTCTTGGAAGAATGCCACATATGATCGGGATTCCACCCTTGCTTCTAACTAATTCTATGACTGTTTATACCTCTGAATCAGTTCCTCACTCCTAACTCGACCAACATCATTTCCTCCCGCGCTAATGCAAATAACGGGATTGTTCCCATTCCCAGCCATAGAATTAGCTTAGAATTAGCTAAGTACTACCTAATTGCGACCGTACCAGCCCTATCAAACAGTGACTCCTCCCAACACATCACCCGGCCGCCACACTGGGGACGCAAGGTCCAACCAGCACCCGCACAGTCCCTTACATCACATGCAGGCATTATCCCTGGTCTTATTCGACTAGCGGAGAGGCTTCCTGGACCAATCAACGATCCGCCAAGGAACTCGACGCACTGTACCTGGCCAACGGCCTCTGGACCCCGTCATCGCCCCGCGGACGCAAGTCTCGCTGCCTCCACTACCACTCCGGAGACTACCACCAGAACAACCACGAGGTCGATCTCAACACAAACTCCAGAACCACCCCAGCTGGCACAAATAGAGGAATTTCCCTCCCCAGCTCCCAACACTCCTACCATCACCATCTCAGCAGATGCACTAGCAGACGTGTTGTCTACGAATACTACCAGTACCACCAATTCTCCTGAGATAGTTTCTACTACTAATCCACGACAGCTGAGCTTACCTCAGGCTGCGAGACGAAAGTCGAAATTAACAACTTCGGTTGTTACGGACGCTTCAGACGAGGAAGTCTTAGTAGGAGCTCCACAACCACAGCACAAATTCGACACTTACTCGATACAAAACTTCCTTATGAAGGCCACCTTGCCAAACGACAGTTCAAGTTCAAGTTCAAGTATGTTTATTGACATAAGAAAGAAATACATCTCAAAGGGATAGAGTAGCTTAGGCTATTTCTACTCCCCACCCAAACGACAGTAGTCTCAGCCAAAGAAAAAGCAGAAGATCTAAAGGTCAACACACCCACCAGCTCCACGACTGTTACAATCAGCCCTCCGAGGCTCAAATCCACCATGAAGACTCCTATCCATCCCCCAGATCTTCAGCATCAGCTATTGATACAGAAATTGGCTCCAAAGAGCCTCCACTTACGGGCTCACCATAGCCCGTGCTACTTGGGACTTTTTTGTTCTGAGTAGCTGAATCTAAAACAACAACAACAACTACCTAATTAAGTCCATGTAACTTACCTTACCCTCTAAATGTCAACCCATGTCTTGTTATTCTAAACAATGCTGTTTGTTGACCTATTTGTACAATTGCAGATTTTTGGCATGTTCCCCCTCTTTTTTTATTCTTTTTATTCCTTTTTTCAACACAATTTATACTTTACTCCCAATTACTATTAAGTTTTAGTCTAAGTGTTTTTTTCCACTCCTTGCCCGAAACACTGTGTATTAGTGGCTTTTGGTATTGTATGTACTAGCTCTATCTCTATATCCAACAGTATGTTTGTAACTCAAACACTCAAACGACAAGGCCGACGGGTACTTATCAACTGGGTGCCAAGTCATGTGGGAATAATAGGAAATGACATTGCAGACGAAGCTGCAAAGCTTGCAACTAAGAGAAGAAATGTAGACATTTACATAGCACAGAGTCTATCACAGATTAAGAAAGTAATTAGAAACAGAGCAATGCAAAAGATGTACAGTGACCACAACACAGCAGTTGCAACATCAGGATCTGCGGGTTGGTACAAGAATTCAACCAACTACGAACCACTTAGTTTGATGAAAGGGAGCAGTAGAGCAACAGAAGTACACTTACATCGCATCAGGCTTGGATACCCATGTGCATGGGAAATAGGCTTACAGGTTCCGGAAGATGAGAGGAAATGTCAACACTGTGGAGAAATGCCCGACAGACCACTGGAACATTATCTAACACAGTGCACAGTTACAAACCCATTAAGATTTCAACTTAGATTCAACAGAGCAGAAGAAGTTGTTAAACACATATGGCAAAATCTTACTGAAGCGACCATACGAGTCATAAATACTCATACTCCGCCCAAGTAAAACAGAAACAAGCAACACTTAGTGGGCCAGCCAGAGGCTTAGGGCCCACGCAGGAATATCCCTGCAAAAAAAAAAAATAGTTAGTTAGTTTAGTTCATTTATTATGCACCCCATACCCATCCTGTGGGCGGTAGTGGAAAGGGTTACAGAGGCACATAATGGGCTCAGGGACTGAACCCCACAATTCATTTAGCTAAGCAAGTTACAATCTTGATGAGCTAGTTACAAAATTCAATATAAGTCATCACATCAACAATGGGTTCGAGATCGACCTCAAGTACAGGTTCTAAATTAAGCAACTGACATATGTGGAGAGCTAGTGTCAAAATTTATATGTTTGTCCTGCACACCGCCCCCCATCCAGTGGGCAGCGGTGGATAGGTTACAATCACTTAGTTACTACCTACAGTTAGCAAACTGGGGATATTTGGCTAAAATTTCTGGTAGCAGATCATTTTGAATGAAATATTGACACATCGCTGGAACATTGGTTATAGAATTGTCTCTAAATTCACGTATCTTTTCGCACTCCATCACATAGTGACGGAGGGTGTGCGAATAATTTTGTTGACACAGTTTACATTTGGTCAGGTCTACATCAGCAGATAATGAGAATTCCCAGAGATACTTGTAACCGAGTCTAAGCCGAGCAGTAGTAACATCTAGAAGTCTGCTGATTTTATTGGATGATCCATAGATGTGTGGCTCCTCTTGCATGATAGTATGATGATAGATGGAATTACTGGTGTCAATTTCACTTTGCCTCAGATCTACAAGATCTTGTTGAAGTTCTCGGTGTACAGCTGCTCTCAGATTGCTCATTGACAATCCAAGGTTACACTCAACGGCTCCTTTAAAGGCAGATTCTTTGGCTAACTTATCAGCTCTATCATGCATTCGGAGGCCAACATGAGATGGAGACCACATGAAATGGACTCTGTTACCATCCTTAATAATTTTGTTGTATTTGTGTCTAGCTTCGGACACGAGCATGTTACAGTTATGTCTTAAAGAGTTGAGAGCATTTAAGGATGATAAGGAGTCACTTACAATTAATGTATCAAGTTTTGAGACTTGTACACATTTCAGTGCAAGGATCAAGGCAAATAGTTCAGTCTGAAGGGTAGAGGCCCAGTTGTTTATACGGACTCCCCACTCAAAGTATAGGCCATCGCCCATTGTCAGGACAACTGCACT